TTTTTCTAGTTTTTAAAACTAGAAAAATTGGGCATTATTATAAAGCAATAAAATAAAAAAGTGATTTTTTGTGAAAATCCGCTTTTTTAAGGTAGTCGGATACCTTAACTCATGAAATTCAGCTGCCACTATTCGTTCTTTGATATTGTAGGGAAGTCTGCAGATCTATGTATCAAAACACTTCATATTTTTCCATCGAACTTAATTTGCAATTCATCAGTAAAAAGAAGCAGAATCTGCTCCCGTAATTAAGTTTGAAGAAAGAGTTTCAGTAATTTTGGTTGAAATAATTTTAAGCTAACATTTTAAACTTTTAACAATTTAAAATAAATTATATTAAATAATTCTTACGGCTACGGAACCCTAAATGGTCGAGCCCGGTATTATATATATAAAAAAGTTCATTAGCAGCTGTGAATATACTAATAAAAAAAAACTCATAAACATTGAAAATAATAATCAGAGAAATTTAATTCTTTATTTTTGAAATTAGTTGCTTTATTTTGAATTCAAAAGCTCCATGAGAGATATTAATTTTTAAAAATGCATATTATTTTCATTATCTATTCAATATATTGTTTTCGAATTTTTTTTTTCATTAAATTTTGTTATTTTTTCCATAGGCATTTTACGTAAATAATTTTTTATAAGCAACCGAAATTAAATAAGTTATGAATTTTTGATTGGATATAACTATAATTATTACTGGTTAGAAAAGAAATCTAACTTTCGGAGTCCTTGTAATCCTTCTACGGAACCCCAAAGCCAGGGCTGGATTATCCATTAGGCCAGACTAGGCCATGGCCTGTGGCCCCCGATGATTAGAGGCCCCCTTAAAATGGATTTTTTGAAAATAAATTTTAAAAAATTAAAAAAGAAATGATTTTTCAAAATTTTATGATTATTTTTTAGTTCTAATTTAATAAAATAAAGTAAAATTTAATATATTATTATTTATTTTAATTTTAAATATGCTTTATTAAATGAAAAGATACATAAATACTTTTATATTTGAATAAAAAAAGCATATACGAGAAAATTTTTTTATCTAAGGTCCCCAAAAATTTGAATGGCCTAGGGCACCGCGTACGCTTAATCCGCCCCTGCCCCAAGCATTCCGCGGAACACCTTTCGGGAACTGCTACATCATAGTATAAAATTAGTTAAAGTTTCGTTTGCAAAATTTGGCAGGTATAAATCTTACTTTGTAATCTTAACAACGTATAAATCTTAACTTTAAATCTTAAGCTTAAATCTTAAAATGCTGAATGCGAAGTAATCAATGCTGAATGCGAAGCAATCATAAAGGTTTGTGAGCGGATTCTCCAATTATATATATTTTTTAATAGATTTGTAATGCATGAAATCGTAAATAAGTTTCAAGCAAATGTTTCACTAAATTTGAATTTAGTTTAGCTACAAAAAAAAAGAAAAAAGAAAAAGTGTCCTGTCTGGTCCTTTGAAAATCTATTTAAACTAACGTAAGCACCAAATCATTTAAATAGATATTAAAATATTTTTACGTAATAGCTAACAATCATAAAATAATGTGATATTACTAGATATTAAGATATAAAATTTTAAAACTTAAGGGTTGCGAGACTTTTTATGTGTAGTAATAGAGGACATCGAACTTATAAAAAACTTAACCTTATAAAAACTGAAATTAACGTTAAGTTTTTTCTTGTTATTTTTATTCGAATACATCGTTAATTTTTTCCATCTGACCGATTAATCCATAAACTTATTACTATATAACTATAGTGTTCAATGATTTACATAGTGTTTTTTATTTTACTTTATAACCGGTGTTGAACAGCTGTCCCAATTCTGAGAATACGACTATCAATACTCAACACCATAGCAACGTTATTTTGAGCCCTACCCAGAAGACAAAGACTGGATCAAGCATTGGGGCAAACAAGCCTTCATGGAGAATTTTGATGAAACTAATCCTCGTTCGCGGTACACGAAGAGGAAAATCACTATACTCCCCGGGTTAACCAGACTGCGGGGGATTCTAATCCGTGATCTGTCAACCATTGAGGATATTTTACGTCAGCACTGTGGTCGGTGCTTACTGGGATCAGAATTCGTATCGTCCAGCCAACGCTGTGAATTCGAACCTGGCTCTATCCCCTGAGCCACTAGTCTTCTAAGAGTCTTCAAAACAAATGTGGCAGCCAAATTAAATATTTTATTTTTTTACATATAAATTATATTGCCTGTCCCTTGAATATTTTTTGAATCGATCTCAAATTCAATTGTTTCTATTAGAAAATCTTACTGAATGTTCATAAGTTAAGAAGATTCATTACATTGTATTCTACTCATAAAAGTGGCTGATTTTAAAATATAAATTGTTCTTCTTATAGGTGAATTTTCAGATGATCATCAATATAATTTTGAAATCATCAACGGTACATTTAGTCACGAAGAGATAATAGCTGCAGAATTTCATTATTTCTTTGATAGACAAGCTTTCAGGGCTCATCCATCGTCTCATATCATCCAGGTAAACCTCATTATTTCAACCTTATAAACCTCAACCTAATTATTTTTTCAGAAAATGATTACACTGGGGGACAGGGTTTTTTTTTCTTCTGTTGTATGATATTTTTGCACGCATCTTAGATATTTTCGCGTCATTAATTTGCAATCGATTTCTCTCTACAAGCTACGGTTTTTATGCAATTTAACGATATTTTCCTCCCCAGGTTTTTTTTTAAGATTCCCTCTCCACCTCTCTGCTAGATAGGGAGTGGTAAGAAGCGATAATACATTTCAGTTTATGATGCGATCTGATTACCAATTGCTTGGCGATCATGCGTGTGTATATTACTGCTGAAGTGTTATTTTATTCGAATTACCACGACCTATGTCATTTACCTAATTTCATTTAATTTCATATCTACCTAGTAGTTTTGTAGTTGATAATCGAACAAATCTGAAATTCTCTTAATTTCGAACAACAGCATTGAATTTCGCTCATTTAATTATTGGAGTTTTAAAAGTTTAAAGCTGATGATCTTGACTAGTCACTTGTTTTTTTCAAACCTCTTCGTTGAAATGATTTGGTCTGATTGATTTCCGAAGTATTCACTATTGCGTATATTCCCTGATTTGTAATTAGCCTAAAATTAAGATGAAATTTTTTATTTCAGGTTTTACTTTATGAAGTTTCAAAAAATTCAAGCAGAAATCTGTTAGAGGCCCGTTTGATTAGTACTTATTCACCAGGATGGGAAGTTTTTAAAATCACGTCTACAGTTAAAAAATGGAGAAATAGTACAACATTAAATCAAGGTAAAGTAGAGTTTACTGTTATATCTTCTTCTTCTTCTTGGGCACTACAGCCTATGACAGGCCAAGGCCGTCCCAATAAGTTTTTGCCATCTTGATCTATTCTGTGCCATGGCCTTCCAATTACTTATTTCTATTATATTTAGGTCCCTATCAACTGCGTCCAGCCGCCTAGTCAGTGGACGACCCCTACTGTTATATACCACTCAAAATTATTTATACATTAATTTTTAACATACAGTATACTCTCGATATCTTGAACTTCGATATCTCGAAAACTTTGTTACGTCAAGAAAATATTTTTCCACTTGGCATTATATATCAACCTAATGTTAATTTGAATTCCTATGTCAAAGAGTTTCTCAAAACCTTGCAATGTCAAACTTTTTTCGAAATAGAAATTGAATTTTTTCGGAAAAATCACAATGTAAGTTTATTATGAACCAATTCTTTTCTGTTTAATGCATAATTATTTTTGCCTTACTTTAAATATAAAATTATCATTGTGTATTAAGTATTTCTTTGCTATAGATATGAAAATGATCGAAAACATTTTAGATCATAATGTCTACACATTAATTTTTTTTTTCTACTGTGACATTTTAAATGTCGAAATTCATAACTTGATCGTAATCAGTCAATTAGTTTCTTGTAAATAAATCTTCAGAAAAGTCGTATTTCTAAAGTCTTTCGCAAAAGTCTTTTCGCAAAAACTATTCGACTGATTCTGTTTAAATTTTAGGTTCTCCTCATTTGAAATTATGAAGAGTTAGAATAGCTTACAACTTAAAAATTTTTCTAGCTCTTTATAAATTAAAAATAATGTTAAATTTTTAAAATAATATTTTTTATTAGAAAAATTATTCTTAGATGAACGAGTCTAATAATTGCGTGCAAAAATATTTCAATTCATTTACAAGGGTTCGTAAACACCTTGAAAAATTCAATAAGTGATAATAATATTAAGATAAGCAATGTATTTCATTATGTTCGAGATTGCGGAATATTTTATTTACTATTTTACTATAAGTAAATAGATCTAGATCCAAAAGCTATTGATTTGAAATTATTATTCTAAAGCCAAGGCTACCAAAAGCCCTCTAATATTTTTAAAGTGTTAGCTACCTTTAAATAGTAAAGTATGTTTCTTGTATTTAACTAACTGTCGTAAACAACATCTTAATCACCACAATAACTTAAAATTTTATTTCATACATAGAAATATAATGCGTGTAGGAGGAAAATTAATTAAATTGAAGTGGTTGCAAATTAGCAAAATAATTTTACACACCGTGATAGTTAACTTACTTCGACTTAAATATTTTAGTCGAATCTTTGGCAGCCTTGCAAAGAGAAAGCTTAATTAATAAACTTTAAAAATTTCAGGTTTTTCTAACAAAGTCGACTCCAGTTGTAATTTTTTTAGGTTAGTTTTTTTCTAGGCTAATGGTTTCAAATCAAGCCATTTTGAACATTTTTTCTATTTATTGCACAGTTTCTACAGTAATTCTATATTTTGAGAGAGGGGTAATCCTAATCCATAGGAGAAATAAACGTTTGTTGCACACCCAGCCTATGTGCCTTAAAAATTTAAAAAAGAAATTAAAATAAAAGAGGTGAGAAAAAATTCAACCCCGAAACTTGCTAGTATGCTTCTAACCATTATTGCATCTAAATAAAACATATATTCTTGAGAATTTCACTTTACCAAATATTGTCCTGTAAAATTATCTGTTGGTATTATCATAAATGCACTATCTCTTTTAAACTTTTTAAGCTCACTGGTAACCAGGTATGCTTTCGAAGAAAAAAAACTTAAAATATCATACATTAATTAATTAGTATATTTAAGGTTTATTCCGTGAATCCTTTAACAAGGATATCAAAAGCTTGGCTTTCCGCAAAAGGACAGTATTAGGAAATTGACTAAATCTTGCAGAATTCTATTCAATTTTGTAAACACTTATGCCCTCGTAATGTTAAAATTGAGAAACTATAATAAACTATAATATAAAACTTTTTTTTTGAAGTAAGAAAGAAAATTTCAGTCATATAACTTTTTTAAGTGAAATCTTTTAAAAATACACGCATAATTTATAAGATAATGTTTGCAGATTTTGTATTCAGTCTCAATTATATAAACAAAAATTTGCAGGATTTGTGATTGAAACGTTGGATTTGTCTGGACGAATATCAAGAACAAGATCAGTTTCAGTCAACAAACCGATACTCATTGTTTTCAGCTTGGATAGGAGGAGACTGAAATCTTTCATGACTTCTGCAGCAAGGTCAAAAAGTCCAAGTAAGTGTTTACTTGTTTTTACTGCCAACTATAACATGTTTATAAACACATTAATGGAACATTTATTACAAAATAATTGATTTAATGAATCAAAAATAAATATTTGGTAATTTTATTATAGAAATATAGGAATATGTATCAGGAACATACTAACGATATGTATCAGGAACATCGATTATATATGCAACTACTCTAACTATAACATGTTTATAAGCACATTAATAAAACAATTATTACAAAATAATTGATTTATTGAATCCAAAATAAATATTTGGTAATTTTATAATAGAAATATAGGAATGTGTATCAGGAACATTGACTACATATGTAACTACCCTAACTATAACATGTTTATAAACACATTAATGGAACATTTATTGCAAAATAATTGATTTAATGAATCAAAAATAAATATTTGGTAATTTTATTATAGAAATATAGGAATATGTATCAGGAACATACTAACGATATGTATCAGGAACATCGATTATATATGCAACTACTCTAACTATAACATGTTTATAAGCACATTAATAAAACAATTATTACAAAATAATTGATTTATTGAATCCAAAATAAATATTTGGTAATTTTATAATAGAAATATAGGAATGTGTATCAGGAACATTGACTACATATGTAACTACCCTAACTATAACATGTTTATAAACACATTAATGGAACATTTATTACAGAATAATTGATTTAATGAATCAAAAATAAATATTTGGTAATTTTAATATAGAAATATAGGAATATGTATCAGGAACATGCTAACAATATGT